TGTGGAGGGAAAAACACTTTTTCTCTCCAATCGAAGATGGACTGATTAAGGAGTTGAGGGAACTCAACCTCTTGATGTTCCCAAGTACTGTAAGATTGCAGAAGCCTTTACTTTCCAACTGTGGTATGCTCTCAATTCTCAATGATTTTTGTATGCAAATTTCATTTCCAAGTTTTATATGCCCTTTTACTTATTTTTTCTTCCTTTCCAGCTGCTATGGAGCAAAAAGGTAATGCAGGGGGACTGTTGCTTCCTGACCTGAACTTGGTGCATCTTGACCTGAACTTGCATCCTCTTGAGGAGATCGAGGAGTGATGGATGCTGATGAGACTCCATAGAGCGACAGAGAGATCATTTTTAGCGTATTTCAGGCTAGAGTTTTGGGGTAGAAAAGGACTCACTACAGTTCTTAGGGAGAGGAGTAGGGAGGGGCTTCTGTTAAGCAGGAGTCAATTATCTCTCATGAAATAATGAAATATCAGATGAGATTGATCTATGTTATTGTTTGGTTATTTTGTTATCCTGTTTGTTGTACCTTTAATTTCTCTATTTGAAACATTTACAATGGATGATCTTATTGGCAAATTGTATTTTAGCCTGGAAAGGCAGTTTGATGGTAAGGAGGTATGTTTGGTGAAGTTTATAAGTGCTTCGGCTTTTAATACTATTCATGTTTTATAAGTTTAAATTTTTATCTTAAAAATTTATATTTTTTAACCTTTTTTTTAACCTTAAAAAGACCTTAAACAGTAAATTTTGAAAAATTTTAAACTTCTACATTTTATAAACTTCTTTCATACTCACTTCTTACTCAATTTTTATTATTTCTAAAAGCAACTTTTAAATTTTTTTCTTCAATAAAAATTTAAACTCATGACTCATAAATAATACTAAAAAAAGTAAAAGCTCCAAGAAGTTTTGCCAAATAGGCCCTTAATGTTATTAATTGTCTACTTCTTGTATTTCTTTGATGAGCTTCTTTACTTTAAAAGTAAAAAGTAAAAAGTTAAGTTAAAAATAGTTTTTTTAAAAGCACTTCTAACGTCAACTTTTAGAGAGTTAGGAGCTGAAGTTACAAAAAATTGTAGCTTCAGAAGTGAGCTACAAAAGCTTTTACTAAAACAATCCTCTTTATTTAAAAAATTAATCTTCTTTATCAAAGTTAAACAAAGGTTAGATTGAATCAAACTAGAACAAATGAGAGGGAAACTCTAAATTTCCTTTCTCGTATGTGAAAGTATGGTAGCTACTCTTTCTGTCCCAATGCAAGAAAGTTGATACAGAAAAGAATGAATGGGA